ACTCCAGCAAACAAACTGAAGGAGTATCATATGGAAGAAACCTAGCACTACATGCAGTATATAGCAATAACCTTGGTACCGAATGACACACACCAGCTTATCTAAATGAATCATTTATTTGTTGATAATTGCAGAGTATAAAAGAGAGAATATCCCAGACATTAAACTGATATAAGGAAAAGACAGAGGAAATCGCCTCTCCTAACAGCCAATCCAGCAACTTCATTGGCTCAAAGTCACCTGCAGCTAAAATAAGGGCAGGTTAAGTGGCTGGTGCCTCCTCCCCAGTTCAGCAAAGTGCTTGTGTGCCCTCATAGATCTTCTGATTATTCCAATCATCTCCCTCCTCCGTCCCTCTGAGCAGTTTACAGTGAAATGCTGAGGCATTCATCCTACTGTAGGCATTCTGCAGGACGGAGTCAGGATGGAGTCCAGTCTGGCACGTGGGGACCAGCACACCTGAAGGACTGATAGCTCCAGATGACAGGACACAGAGACTGAATGACATTGCTGACAAACGATTGTTCTGTGCTACCTTTACTGTTTATTCCTGCAGCTTCTAGACTCAAAGATGGGCTGAAGGGGGCGGGGGTGCGGGGGGCAGACCTACGATTCAGCCTTTCTGTAAGGTCTGCTTCCTGCAGTGAAAATAAACAAGCACGACTCACTCTCCATCCTTCCCCTAGTTCTGCCCAACTAGGGAACTAAGTTTCGTCAAACAGAACTTTGAGCTCTTCCAGGGCGCCCTGATTCAGGCCCCTGTCAGACCCCTGGATCCCTCCACCCTAGATGCCCGGCTTCCGGCTCTTTTCCCAGCAAGGAAAAAAAATGCAATAAGCAGGGAGTGAAGGGAAAAAAGAAACAAAGTTGCCTCATTACCCTCATGTTGGATGTAGAACGCGGGCCGGCAGTCAGGCTCAGCATAGACCTTAATGTCCTCACATCCACATGCAGCAGGCATCGCGATGAAAGCAGCAGAGGGTCCTGCATCACAGCTCAGGCTGCCCAACATCTCCGCATCTAAATATTGCATGTGATCTAAATGCACTCGTTTAATGGACCGCAGGAGCCTTTAACATGCCACAGGTTTTCATTTTTTTACATCCCCTTCATCCTCGCTGCCTTTTTCCAGAACGATTTTAAGATCAGAAAGTCATGTGATTCTGAGTGTATATAATGGTGTGTGTGTGTGTGTGTGTGTGTGTTAAAGGTCTTATACACAGGGGCGTAGGAACCAGGGGGGATGGGTAGTGTGTGTGTGTGTGTGTGTGTGTGTTAAAGGTCTTATACACAGGGGCGTAGGAACCAGGGGGGATGGGTAGGATATGTACTCCCCCTAATATGGCTTCATCATCACCCCCTACCCCCGCGTACATTAAGCTGACCCCCACCAGCAAAACTCGCTCCTACACCCTTGCTTGACTCAGAGTCAAGTCGAGAATTCACGCATCTTAAGCAAGCGGAAATATTTCATACTGGAGTATGCAGTATACAGTGGTGCTCTGTGTGTGTGTGTGTATATATATATATATATACACACACACACACACACACACACACACACAGAGAGAGAGCTTATTCTCTGTAATCTATATGGTGCACTTGAACACTCTGACAAAGTCCCTTTCCACCCAGGTCACCTCCCCCAGGCTCAGTTACGCACAAATCCTAATAGCTTGCTTAATTCATTCATGAAATGCCAGTCATCTTTTACCTTGGTGGCACTCAGTTACAATGCATACATACGTCAGGAGCTAATGTGCGAAGCCACTGCGTTTGCGTAATCAGACAAACAGCGTAGGGCGTCTGTGGCATTTCGGCGCCCACGGTGGCATCGCCGTTTGCCATGCTGCAGCCATGCGAAATGCCCACACCGATATGAGAGCCGGTAGGATCGGCAAACCCCAACGACAGCCGGACGTCAGGCTCAGTCGCGGGGTTTCGGTTTGTGCTCACAGCGTCTACCGGCCTTATTAATTCCCCTCTGAAATGGGGAAACCGTTTAAGCGTTATTCGTGCGAAACAGTGCCGTTTATCTGCGAAAACAAAGGGTAGTCTTCCTTTTAATTAATAGACTTACAGGGCATCCACGGAATAATTATTCCGGATACTTTGTCTTTGGCAAGGTAGCATGGAGAAATGTGGCGAGCCGAATTATATATAAAAGACGGTGAGGTCTTTAAAAGGGACCCGACAGTGGTACAGAAAGACCCTTCTTGTTTTCATTAGTAACTATGAATAAAGACATACCTCCACATTTAATTGTATATACATTACGTGGAGCTCCCGGAGTCAGTTCCCAGCAAATAATGTGTTTAAAGACAATATAAAACATACGCATATCATCAATACAGAGATAAAGCATGGTATTCTTGCATATCCTATTCATTTTAAATGCAATTCGAGTGTTCGTGTTTTATTTCGCATCTCCAAACACTATCGTTGTATCCTTTCGATCATTTCCATAACAATAAAACACATTCGCTGGTCTCCCGACTGCTACTAATATGGCGTACTTAACATAGCAAAATGTGACTTTTTAAAAATAAAAACATGATCTAACAGATACGCGAAATATAGCAGCTATCTGTAGGTGCATTAGCAATTTTACTGACATATTAATATGCATGAAGCTTTAGGCAGGTAAAGGGAAACTATACTTAGGAATAAAAGCATGCTCGTCGTAACTGGACTGTACGTCGCCCTTTCGAAAAATACGGTCATATTATGTAGAAGATACCACACATAATTACGTGTCTAGGAATGTGATGTGTTTTGTTCGCGAAAGAAATTATACAGTTTGCATCATGCGCGTCCTACTGCGAACTCTTTATTGTGAAAGGGCAGGGTTTATACGAGGTAATGGACTGAGGTTACTTTTCAGAATACAAAATGCAACGACTTATTACCATATATCCACATATGCAGGCTCACACACACCCGCACATATGTATGTGTTGCACTATGCATCAGTTCACAATTCACAATGGTACATTAAAATGCGTTGAGTCATGAATGCATGTGCAACCTCCGACTATTATACAGTGATGATAGATGTTAACAAAATATCCATAACGACCTGATTCATACTACCACCTTGTCTACGGTTTATTTATCTAAGTCGATAAGAATAAGAGATTATTCTAATATATATATAATATAGTAGCGATACTTTTTCGAGAAGAACAAAGTCTGCTGACCAATTTTGAATTAACTACAATACACTAAAGCAGCACCTACAATTCAACAAGTAATACACTAATACTAACGCAATCGCAAGATGCATGTGTGCAAAACAGATATTAATATTTCATGTTACATTTCTTGAATGGTCCTCTTACCTGTATGGCTTGTGGTCGTCCGGCGTTTGCAGATCTAACGAAGAAGGGCAATTCGCAAATATAGTGCTCCTGTCTCGGTGCAACACTTTATGACCTTCAGACAGCCTAGGCGACTACGTATTCTATCTTAAAAACACAATGTGAAATGTTTAATAGTAATCCCATTGATGGCCGGGCGATCTGCGTTTACGGCAAACGCGGTGAGCGGAGTGTAGCCCGTGTGTGTGACAGCGGGCTCAAACCCACCCTGATCGCTCCGATCTGCGATCAGCTTCGGTCCTGCTTGGGAGAAGCTATCTGTCTCCACAGAGACACGTTTCAGTAGTTTACCATTACCGTAAAACACCCGACAGCAGCCACGGCGCAAATTTATTTATTCTACCACAACAGACGCCTCTCATTCATGTCTTCTATTCCAGACGTGAATCATCTTTGACTTCAATTGGTACGAAGCAAAATCATTAAAAACCAAATATGGCTTCGATTTCGTAGTTAAATTTATATTTAACTAAAATTGGAATGAAGCAATATGATTTAAAAATGTAATATGAACAAATATAAGCAATAATAGATAAGTAATTCGATCACTTGGACATAATGTTGAGCACAAGTTGTATAAATACTGTGTGAAAAAAATGTTACATTTTTACAATATTAAGTCATTCTGATTCCCTTTTACCAGCATTTATATCAGATCCGATTATATCAACAAAAAGGCCATAAAGACAAACTAGAGTATCCAATTAACATTTTTTTTTTCTTTTCGAAAGAGTAACACTAACGGGGCCGTGAAAAATCTTAAGAAAAATAAATAAATGTAAAGTCGAAGATACTAGAAAGAGTACAGTACAGCTGTTTTTGAAAGCTCGGCATGGAACTCCTCCCTACCCAACTATACTCTATTGCAAGAAGGGCGCTTTACAGTAAAAGACATACAGATCTGAACGAACCGAAACACAGATTGCCTAAACTAAAACAAATTCGGTATTGTTTACATTGGCTATTAATTTAGGATCTGTTAACTTATGAGATATGTTTAAAATTTAGAGAAATTAATAAGACAGAAAGGCGGACAATATCAGTAGAAGGTTTTACTTTCTAGTACGTTTCCCTTTGTTAAGAGAAAAGAAAGGACAGTGACGCCTTAGCATCAGCCTGTATTGCTGTTGTGTAACTCGGGATAGGTCACGTGGGTGTGGCAAACGGTCCATTCCATGGGTCACCGATTTCGGTTCTGCGTCAGTGGGGTTATAAAGGACACTTCACGTCTGAAGTGGGTCAACTCCTGCTCTCCAGAGGCCCCGATGCCTACAAAAATGCGATGCATCATTTCAGGGATAATTGCGTTAACAAACGCAAAGGTGGTGAGTCTAGTGAGGAGCGGGGACAAGGAGTGAGTAGCGGTCACTGTGATAAGAGTGAATTCCTCACTACATCTGCTAAAACAACTTTAAAGAGAGAATTACGCACCGCGTATATTGTAACATGAAGGTAGTTTTGAAGGTAATTTGTTGTGCTGCTTGATGCAATGACAATTTCGGGTGTTGCAATCTAATTTAATCTTATCATTACAGCGAGATACTCGCGAAGAATTTTATATGGATATTAAACGGTGAAACTATCCCTGTATTGCGATAAATGGTTACAACATATTTTTAAATTAAATGTTAACTGCACAAGCAGCCCATTTCAGGAAGGAAATTAACCTCTTTAAACAATTTAAAAATCAATAACAATTAATGTATAAAGACAAAATTCAGGCAATTGAAATGAAATGAAATTAAAAGTTAAAATATATGTAAAGAGGGCTGCAAATTGCCTTTATAGCCATATTATCTGAGCTACTGATTCCAAGCTACCAGACTGTCAATGAACTGTTCATTAACTGTATTCAGGAGGCAGTCAGGACAGAAGGGCTCCTTTATCTAAGACAAATTCCCCTAAAGTCCCAACTTTCTGCCGCTTCTCCTCCGCAGCTCCTCCTGAGACACCCTCCTGTGTGACCCTAGGCAAGCAGTTTGCCCCTCAAAGAAAGCTGGCTCTCCTTTGATACCACTGTAGTCCATCTCGGCACCGTGGAGACAAGCTGTGTTTCCTGTCCTCGTCGGCCCTGTGGAGAAGACAACCTCATCTGATCCCATTTCCCTTCATATTTAAATAACAAAAACTCCTTTAATTGCTTTTGCACGGACAGAATCTGACCAGGGAAAGGCCACAAACCAAGCTCCTGTGTAATATTGCTGGATTTAGTAATTATTTATCTGCTCATTACTTCAGTGATCTGTTTATTAATTTTCTTTTTCCTAGTATAAGTCTAACCAAAGACAGCGTAGCCAGTAGGACCATTCTTGGGAACAACAGCACTTTCAACTTCTGGATTAAATCCCCAAAAGGTCTTGGTTCATAAAACAGGCCTAGACGGTAACAGTGTCTTCATTTGCTTTGCTTAATGAAGTGCCAGGGCAGTGTAGATATACTTGATCAGCTAATAACTATCCATCTATGATCTACCATCTAGCTGTTTATAAAATGCAGTGTTGCAAAGAGCTTGGGGTCCATTCAATGAATCACAGGACAGTAGACAAGGAATGGCTAAGATGGCAGTCCGTGATGGGCACTGACCAGAATTTACTGAAATGAGCAAGAAAGTAGAGCAGTGGAATTAACACTAGAGCAGCCCCTGTGTCTTAAACAAATTATGTTTCCTGTAGTGTTCAGCTGAAGAGATCAGACCAGGATATTTTGTGGTCAACATCCAAATAGTGAAAGCAGTCATGAAGTTAACTTCAACCCGAAGGTCACTGGCAAAGCTGAGGAGAGAGAGAGTGGAGTGGAGTTAATGATGAGCTTCCTCTGTGAGTCTTTCTGCAGGCACTCGGGGGGGAACATGTCTGTGGACAGGCTGGAGCCACTCGGCTGATAGACAGGACTGATAGCGGCATGGAGGGAGACGGTGTGGGCCTGGAGACAGATGCCAGAGCTGGCTGTGACAGCCACTGACACGCACACACACAGACACTAACACAGACACTGACACACACAGACACTGACACGCACACACACAGACACTAACACTGACACGCACACACACAGACACTAACACAGACACTGACACGCACACATACAGACACTAACACAGACACTGACACGCACAGACACTGACACGCACACACACAGACACTGACACGCACACACAC